GAGCACAAGCCCACTCCCAATGGCTATCCCATATAGTAACATCACTTTAAAACTAACCATCAGTGCTTGAGAATATTTTTGCGAGACTATCCAATTGCACCAGCTGATGACCACCCAGATAGGTAATCTGGTCCAGGCCAGGTTCTATTTGATTTCCATCAGGGAACAGAGAAAGCAAGAAAAACTCAATTTGACCCCCCTATTGATTTTATCTCAACCAAGCCCCCTTAACCTTTACCAAATTATCCTTAAAACTTCAGATCTCGAGTTGTTCAGGAGGAGACTGTGTTTAGTAAATCATAACTCCAGTCTCCCATTACAGCCGTCTAGTTGACTTACTCTTTTCTCTTACTTAAATTCCCATTCTTGGATCAATCAGGGCTCTGTCTAGGTTAGTGGGCAAGGGGAACCACTGCGTAGTTACAATATCATGTAGTTGGTTAGGCGTTAATTTCAATGCTATTTTTTGCCTCTTAGTATGTACACCACTGCTTGACCTCCTAAACTTTGTCTTAGCAACATACCTGGAATAGGTTGTCCTGGAAAAAAGGATTTTTACCCTTGTCAAATGAGTGTAATGAAAAGCCGTACAACTTACAACTTTGTTGGAGGTTCAACAAATGAACACCAGAGTGAAGCTCTCAGGGATCCCTAAACAGAAGAGAAATCTCTTAACTTCAGTTACTCAGAATTTCCTAGGATTGAATCTGCCTTCACTTTTTTTTTCACAGAGCTTCCTATTAACAATTACGCAAAGGATCCCCTGCCCAGTTACTGACTTCAGATACCATGTAGAACCACAGTCACAATGAGAGGTGTGGTAACAGATAATTTATTATAATGTGGGGTTATTCTTCAGATACAATGTGTAAAAGCTTGAACGTATTAAACTACAGTTAATATATTTATATTTGGAAAATGAATGGAAAAAGAGATTTCTGCTTTTTCTTTTTAGTATTAATAGTTTTTTTTATCTATGTTCACATTGTCTAAACAAAATTCTCGAAATAATTCTCTGTTTTGCATGATTCTTTTCATTAGGGCCAAAATAATTTTCTTTCCTACTATAAGGAAAAATTTACTGAATACCTTTTCCATGTGCCTCAGGCCACTATTCAGGTACTCTGATGAGTTAATGAGGGGGAACTGTAATGTAATCAGTTACCTGATTCCACAAAGTTTCCCAACAATTAAAGGTTTGGCACAGACCTTCAGGCAACCCCAAATGTTCTGGTCCTGCACTTTGTTTTGGGCCAGGCTATGTAACTGCTATGACCTGGCCAAAACACACAAAAGCAGGCTTTAGCCAGTATGTCCAAAGGGTGTTTTAAATCCTAATCCCAATCCATAATCTCAAAGTGCTGAAATCCCAAAGTAAAAAATCCTCGATTAAAATCCCTAACATACTTAAAATCCCCTAAATCTATAATCACAGGATCATAGAAGAAGTTCAAAAGAGCAATCTCATGAGAAAATGAATAATGAACATATTCGCTACAAGAGACCATGTCCTAAAAGAAAAAGCAGCTTTATTCATGGTACAAGAATTTTCAAAATATAGTTAATACTGAAAAGACATGCCCAGTTCTTATGGACTATCTCATGCAACGGTGTCTTAATCTATTCCTAATATACACTTTTTTGTATGTCAAAACTTCTTTTTAGTTTTGGGTTTTGGGGTTTTGTTTCTTTTCTTTTTCTTTTCTTTGGTTTATTTTCACATCTTGAAGTTTAGCATTTTTTAATTAATGTAGAATTTGTAGAGTTCTAATTTTTACTTATTCATATTTTGCAATTTAATTCCACGGAAAATGCATATATCACAACACAACTTTACTTTCTGGGTAACACTGCGTATTAATACCAAACATGAAAACTGTCCCTCATCAGTGAACAGATTTGTCCTATTATCACACCAATCCTGCATTGTAAAAGAAAAATTTCTCAGCTAGTTCTCTGTCGCCCCAGCATCACTCTGAGACAGGCTTTTACACACTCACAACCATCTTTGGAAAAATGAAGACCCTATAGGTGGAGGGAAAACACCTAATTTGATGACTGAGAGGTGAGGCACCACTGGAACTCTTCCAGCGACTGGCGATGGTGAAGCAGTGATTGGACTTTTCTAACATTCTGCTAAGTGGGTCAGGGTAGACTTCTGATCTGATCAATTCTGGCAACTTAGGAGTGGAATTAATTTGATAATCAGTATTAAATATAAATGCATTTAAACCACACAAAGGGACATAAATAGAAATTCAAATCCAAGATCTACTGTCGGGGGAAAATAGGTCACATGTTATTACGTAAGCCTTGGCGGAGATACAACAAAAACCCAACATACTTGGCACACTTTGCTTCTTTCTCCTTTCTTTCAGGAGCTTTTTTTGGAGCTGAAGGGGTTACTAATGATAGAGCATATTCAATACAAAATTGAGGGGGGAATGACTTTAATCAGACTGGGCTGGCAAAAGACTTGTTTGAGAAAGATATGAAAAAGGACTACTTTATCTCTGGAATTGGTCCACCCACATTCTCACATATCCTTGATGGAGCTTTGATAAAGCATATTAGTATAACTTACCAGGTACCACCAAAATTATTCTGGTCCTCTCCTAACCCAGTTACCCAGCCCCCAACCTGTTTGCAGTGCCATCTTGGTTTGGGCAGGCTTCAACTTCCAGGGCTCAGCATCTCGCCACCTTCAGCCTCCAAGTAGCTGGGATGTAACAGGCATGTCACCCAACACCAGCTAATTTTTGTGTTTTGAGACGGAGTCTCGCTCTGACACCCAGGCTGGAGTGCAGTGGATACTTATTTTCTTTATTCAATTGTGTTATAAGAGTGTCAGTTTCATAGTGTCCTAACAAAATGGAATTCACTGTCTTGATTCTTTTCTCTCGTCCCCACAACCCTCACCATCCCCTGATCTCTCAGACTTAAACCAGAACTTTTCTTTCTGCCTGCATGGCATCTACAATACACATACTCCCAAAATTCCAAATGTAATTGACTTTCCTTTCTTATCCCTGAAATATTGTCAGTCACCAGATCCCGTTGTTTCCTCCTCCAAATACTGTACATTCCTTTCTTTTTCTTGCCAGTGCCTTAGTGAGGTCCTTTTCCGCCTTTTGCATAATTTCATTAGCTTCCAGACTGGTTTTCCTGGTTTCTTAGAGATACCTCTCTAAACTAGAAGCTTTTTATGACTTTCCTTTCATAAAAGGTGAAATCTGAATTATTTGAATGTCTTTCAAAATCATGTGAAATGGTGTGTCAGTTTTTTGTTTCAGTCTCTTCCCCTACCATCCCCTCTTAATTCCTGTTCTTTGAAAGGAAGTCTATCATAATCCTGAAAGACACAGTCTTGAACACCATAATCCTAAGTGTTGAAATCTCAAAAGATGAAAGTCCCAAAACTAGGATTCTGTAAAAAATAATAAAAACATTCTTTAAAAGATATTTATTTACATTTTTAAACGGGGATTTGAGAAACATGTAAAAACATGATAGAACTCTTCATAGGCCACTTTACACAATAAAATAGGAAATAACAACATATATATTTTTGAAAGTATAAACACATATACTAACAATAGTTGCATGGGTATAATAGGAGCAGACAAACCATGTTCATAAAGAAGCAGGGCAAAAGGTGAAATGCATAAACACATATTATTGTGGTTGGTAATTGTGCACCCAGCTTTGTTACTGCAGTCATCTGAAATACTGTAATGAACAAGCTGTCTTTTGATGAGATCAGTCAAAAATGATGGTGAGTCACTACTGCATTTGTAGTTGCCCAGAGAACTGAGATCTTGAGAAATTTTATCTTTTACAAGTGCAGATGTGTGATAAAGGACATCTGTTCACTGATTGAGGAAGTTTCAGTGTTTTTGTATACATACGCAGTGTTTACCCAGAAAGTAAATGTTGTGATAATGCATTTTCGTGAAGTTAAATTTGCAAAATATGAATACAGTAAATTAGAACTCTAAAAATTTCTACATAATTAAAAAATGCTAAAATTCAAGATAGTGAAAATAAAACCAAAGAAAAGAAAAAGAAAAAAAAAAACCCCCAAAACCCCAAAACTAAAAAGAAAGTTTGACATACAAAAAAGTGTATTATAGGAATAGATTATAGACAGTTGCATGGAGATAGTCCATAAGAGCTGGCTGTCTTTCTCAGTCATTAACTATATTTTGAAATCTTGTACCATGAATAATAGGTGCTTTTTTTCTTTTAGGACATGGTTCTTCTTGGAGAATATGTTCATATTCATTTTCTTCATGAGATTGCTCTTTTTGAAATTCTTCTATGATTCCTGTGATTATGATTTTGGGGATTTTAGATGTTAGGGATTTTAATCGAGGAATTTTGACCTTTTGGGATTTCAACATTTGAGATTATGGATTTTGGGATTAGGATTTCAAACCCCTTTGACATACTGGGCTAAGCTGCTTTTGTGTGTGGTTTGGCCAGGTCATAGCAGTTACATAGCTGGCCCAAAACAAAAGTGAGGGACAGAACATTTTGGGGTTGCCTAAGGATCTGTGGCAAACCTTTAATTGTTGGGAACTGTGTGGGAATCAGTAACTTGATTACATTTACAGTTGCCCCTCATACTCATCAGAGTACCTGAAATAGTGCTAGGCACATGAAAAGGATTCAGTAAATTTTTCCTTATTAGTAGGAAAGGAAAATTATTTTGGCCTAATGAAAAAGAATCATGCAAACAGAGATTATTTTCGAGATATTTTGTTAGACAATTGTGAACATAGATAAAAAGAGAACTATTAATATAAAAAGAAAAAAGCAGAATCTCTTTTTCCCATCATTTTCCAAATATAAATATATTACTGTAGTTTAATACGTTCAGCTTTACACATTGCATTATGATAGAAAACACATTATAATAAAATTATCTGTTACACCATTCATTTGTGGACTGTGTTCTACAGTGGTACTGAAGTCAGTAACTGGGCAGGGATCTTTGCGGAATGTTAATAGGAAGCTCTGAAAAAAAAGTTGAAGGCCAGATCATCCTAGGAAATTCTGAGTAACTGAAGTTAAGTAGATTTCTTTGCTGTAGGATTCTGAGAGGCTTCACTCTGTGTGTTCATTGTGAACCTCCAAACAGAAGTGTAGTGTACGGCTTTTCATACACTCATTTGACAGGTAAATCCTTTTTTCAGGACATACCTATTCAGTATGTTGCCTAAGACAGTTTAGGAGGTAGCTGTGTAGCATAATAAGGAAATAATGCATTTAAAATGTAAGCCTAACCAGATACATGATATTGTAACTACGCAGTGGGTTCCCCTTGCCCACTACCTAGACAGAGCTGATTTATCAAGATGGGAATTGTAGTAGAGAAAGAGTAATTCACGTAGAGCTGGCTGTATGGGAGACTGGAGTTTTATGATTACTCAAATCAGTCTCTCTGAAAACTCGGAGATCTGAGTTTTTAAGGATAATTTGGTAGGTAGGGGCTTGGGTTGGAGATGAAATCATAGGGGGTCAAAGTTGAGTTTTTCTTGCTTTCTTCTGTTCCTGAGTGGGATCATAGAACTGGCTGGACCAGATTACCTATCTGGGTGGCATCAGCTGGTGCATTGGAAGGTCTGCAAAATATCTCAAGCACTGATGTTAAGTTTTACAAATGTGATGTTATATATGGGAGCAATTTGGGGAGGTGGCTGTGTGGCTCCTAAACAGTAATTTCTAATCTTGGAGCCAATTTGTTAGTCCTGCAAAGGCTGACTGGTTCCCCAGGCAAGAAGTGGGTTTATTTTGGGAAAGGGCTATTAACGTGTTTGTTTCAAAGTTAAACTATATAAACTAAATTCCTTCCTAAGACTAGTTTGGCCCACACCCAGGAATGAACAAGGACAGCTTAGAGGTTAGAAGCAAGATGGACTTGGTTAGGTCAGATTTCTTTTACATAATTTCCTTCATTGTAAATTTTATGCAGGTGGTTTCAATATCTTTTTATTTTAAGAAGAATAAGAAATTATAGAAATGTTAAAACTGGCTGGGCATGGTGGCTCACGCCTGTAATCCTAGCCCTTTGGGAGGCTGAGGTGGGAGAATCACTTGAGGTCACGAATTTGAGACCAACCTGGCCAACATGGCAAAACCCTGGCTCAAATAAAAATACAAAAATTAGCCTGGCGTGGTGTGTGCCTGTAGTCCCACCTACTCAGGAGGCTGAGGCATGAGAATCGCTTGAGCCCGGGGGGTGGAGGTTGCAGTGAGCCAAGATCGTGCCATTGCACTCCAGCCTGGGTTGAGACTCTGTCAAAACGAAAACAAACAAAAAAATGTTAAAACTTTCTGTTTTTGATATCTGATATATAATACAAGATTTCATGTTTCTTGTGAATTACTTTATGAAAATGAGTTTTTAAAAATATATGTTAGATTTAAACTGAATAATTTTCTATCATTTTCTCTTACACATAGTGAAAAACAAAATAAAATATCGAGCTGAAGCCTGCATTAAAATGCAAAAAACTATTCGAATGTGGCTTTGCAAGAGGAGACACAAACCTCGGTAAGATGAATAGTCCCCAAAAAGAACTCTACAAAACCTAGTTACTGTAATACAAAATGATAATAAAGTCATAATAAAAAGCAGTTTGGATACTCAAGGAGTTTTCTCACGTTCTTCGTAAGATGATATATTAGTCTTCTATTTGTAATATTTATTTGAAATTAGTTAATTCATTTATTACCTTATTACTTGCCTCATTCTATAAAAGGATTTGAAGTGGCATATGAAAATGTGTAAAGATTATAAAACAAGAAATAAGTGTTGAGAAGCTCTTTTATTCTGACTATTTTAGTTATTTGAGTTTCTTGATAATGTCAAGGTGACATTTTAAAAAAAAACTCACTAATATATTTACCAAAATTTTCAAGATTATCTGTAGGAATTACATTGTCCCATTATAAATTAGTCTTTATTTCTTATTTGAATCTTTCATTTTTAATTTAGACTTAAAAATTGGAAGTCTGAATATCTATTGATCCATCACACCTTTTCAAAGAGACTTAGATAACTCCTTTAAGGTCCTCTGTGATTTGAATTCTCAAAGTTGTAGAAGGCTTTAATCCTGTTGACAGGCATCAGTGTCATTCACACTCATATTTGATTATTTAAGCCTTCAACAAAAGATCTGAAAAAGAGAATACTAGATAATATTGAAAACGGAAGTGAAATACCCTGTTTAGCATTTTATAAATGAAAAATCTGCCAAAAGTACTAAATGATGAAATTAGGCTCTAATGAAGTATTATTTTTACAGCATTGATGGCCTGGTTAAGGTGGGCACACTGAAAAAACGACTTGATAAATTTAATGAGGTAGTCAGTGTGTTGAAAGATGGAAAACCGGAGATGAATAAACAGATCAAGGATCTGGAAATTTCTATTGATGCTTTGATGGCCAAAATTAAGGTACGTAATTTTAACCCAAATGACTTTGACTTTTTACATAATTTAATATATTTTGTTACTGGTATTGAAATTGTATAGAAAAGGTCCTTAGTTTTTCAAAATTACAAAATGTGTTGAGACCCAATGATGGCAAGTAGATGCTCATCATATTACCTCTACTCTTTATGTTTGAAAAATTTCATAGCAAAAAGTTAAAGAAGGTAATTTTTATGCCGTTTGTTCTGTTGCTAAGGAAGATATTCCCCACAACTTTATACGTAGGTGATGGGATGATCTGTGCATCAAACCCAGCATGGCACACGTTCACCTGTGTAACAAACCTGTACATCCTGCACATGCATCCCTGAAATTAAAATAAAAGTTGAAGGCCGTGCGCGGTGGCTCATGCCTGTAATCCCAGCACTTTGGGATCACGAGGTCAGGAGATCAAGACCTTCCTGGCCAACATGGTGAAACCGTCTCTACGAAAAATACAAAAACTAGCTGGGCATGGTGGTGTGCACTTGTAATTCCCGCTATTGGGGAGACTGAGGCAGGAGAATTGCTTGAACCCAGGAGGTAGAGATTGCAGTGAGCCAAGATCATGCTACTGCACTCCAGCCTGGCGACAGAGTGAGACTCCATCTCCAAAAAAAAAAAAAAAAAATTAAAGTTGAAACAAAAAGAAAACACAAAACACATATATTAAAAAAAAAAAAAAAAGATGTTTCTTCCACAAAAGAGCAACTAAAATACCATACTTTATTGGTGAGCTCTTGCATAATCATGACTTAGAGAGGATGAATACAAATAATTTAATTTGTTTCGTGCTTTTCTACTTTGAGAAACTAATTTTTACATTATAAAAGTGACAGGGCACCGTGGCTCCCGCCTGTAATCCCAGAACTTTGGGAGGCCGAGGTGGGTGGATTACTTGAGGTCAGGAGGTTGAGACCAGCCTGGCCAACATGGTGAAATCCCGTCTCTACTAAAAATACAAAAGTTAGCCGGGTGTGGTCACACGCGCCTGTAGTTGCAGCTACTTGGGAGGCTGAGGCAGGAGAATTGCTTGAACCCAGGAGGCAGAAGTTGCAGTGAGCCAAGATTGTGCCACTGCACTCCAGCCTGGGCAACAGAGCGAGACTCTGTCTAAAAATAATTAAATAAATAAATGATAAAAGTAATATAATATTATAACAAATTTGGAGGCCAGATGTGATGGCTCGTGCCTGTATTCCCAGCACTTTGGGAGGCCCAGGCAGATGGATCACCTGAGCTCAGGAGTTAGAGACCAACCTGGTCAACATGGCCAAAACCTGTCTCCACCAAAAATACAAAAAATTGGTTAGGCATGGTGGCATGAGCCTGTGGTCCCAAGGAGGCTGAGGTTACAGGATTGCTTGAGCCCAGGAGGTGGAGGTTGCAGTGAGCAGAGATTGCACCACTGCACTCCAACCTGCGTGACAGACCCGTGGCTTAAAAAAAAAAAAAATTGAAGAAACCACTAAAAACCTCTTAATACCTCCACATTAACAAATTCAGTTAATATACTGTTGTATATCACAGCATATTTTTACTTTTATTTTTACAGTATAATTTTACTTGTTTTTACTTTACCTTACACTCTTTTATGCATAAATGTTTACGTAGTTCTTAATCATAATACACATTTCAATTTCTATCTCTACCATTATGTTATATACTTGTCCATGTTAATACATTATCTTCATAGATACGATAATGTAATTTACTTAATTTTGTGAAAATAGCAATTTCCTCTCCAATTTTGTGGGAAAAAAATGGGACCCCTTTTTTTGTTTTGATTTTTATTTATTTGATTACTAGTGGAATTGAAGACTTTTCTGTGTTTGTTAATTATATTTCATATTTCATTAATTACATTTTGTATCTTTTCCTCAATTATATTTTAGAGTTTTAATACTTTTTCTCAGTTTCATAGGTCAGCGCAAGTATGTGGGATATAATAAATATCTTAATGTGAGCATTTTATGTTTTCTGCAGATACTTTATGTAAACAATGGCAATCTTGGAGGTAGAAAGGAAAAAAAGATCTGGAGGAAAATGAAAATGCTATAAATAGACTCAGCTGATTTTATAAATCTGTCAAGGGCCATCCTTGTTTATGTGGTATTATAAATTAACCCACCCACATTTTCTGAAGGCGAAATCATCTAATAATTTTGGATATATTTAGTAATTTTTAAAGTATTCTCTAGGTACTAGTTGAACATTATTATAAAGTAGTAGTAAACTCTTGCTAAATTAGCTGATCATTACTTAAGAAATATTGTTTTCTTTTTGAGACAAGAGTCTTGCTGTGTTGTGCAGGCTGGAGTGCAGTGGCGTGATCTCAGTTCACTGTAACCTCCGCCTCCTGGGTTCAAGCAATTCTCCTGCCTCAGCCTCCCCAGTAGCTGGGACTACAGGTGTGTACCACCATGCCTGGCTAATTTTTGTATTTTTTTTGTTAGAGACAGGATTTCACTATGTTGGCCAGGCTGGTCTCGAACTCCTGACCTCAGGTGATCTGCCCACCTCGGCCTCCCAAAGGGCTGGGATTACAGGCATGAGCCACCATACCCGGCCTAGAAATAATTTTTAACTGCAATATATTACCTTGTCCACAGTACACCTGTCTAATTGATGTCTAATACTTGTGTGCAGAGATAACATAAAACATTTTTTGAATAGTATTTAATGTACAAACAGTATAGCAAAGATAACGGACATATTGCTTACCATCTTACCTAGTTTTTGCTGTATTTGCATACTGGAGTAGTTTTTTATTTTAAATTGTAAAAAAAAAATAAAAACGTAAAATTTATCTTAACCATTTTTGAGTTTATAGTTCAGTATTGTTAAGTATATTCACATTGTTGTGCAACAGAAGAAATAAGCTTTTACGTACCTATTATTTTATTTTTTAAAGTCCACTATGATGACACGGGAACAAATACAGAAAGAATATGATGCACTGGTTAAAAGCTCAGAGCAACTCCTCAGTGCATTACAGAAAAAAAAACAGCAGGAAGAGGAAGCAGAAAGGCTGAGGCGTATTCAAGAAGAAATGGAAAAGGAAAGAAAAAGACGTGAAGAAGATGAAAAACGTCGAAGAAAGGAAGAGGAGGAAAGGCGGATGTGAGGCATTTATATTATTTTGAATAAGAGACTTAAATAGTGAATTATTGGTATTCACAGTGGTTAATGACAGTTCTTTTTTTTGTTTTGTTTTTGAGACAGGGTCTCGCTCTGTCACCCAGGCTGGAGTGCAGTGGCGTGATCTCGGCTTACTGCACTCTGCCTCTCGGGTTCAATTGATTCTCCTGCCTCACCTCCTGAGTAGATGGGACTACAGGCACACACCACCACGCCTGGCTAATTTTTGTATTTGTATTAGAGACGGGGTTTCACTGTGTTGGCTAGGCTGGTCTCAAACTCCTGACCTCGGGGGATCCACCCGCCTCGGCCTCCCAAAGTGCTGGGATTACAGGCGTGAGCAACCGTGCCAAGTTGACAATTCTTAAAACGGTGTTCTTATTTTAATGAACTAATTTTGTAATAAGTTTGAAAATTGAGAAAATAAGCTCATTTTATAATAATAACATAAAATAATTTTAAGTATAATCTGAATTTTAGTTAGACTCTTATACCTGAGGATTTTCTTCTTTTTAAAGCTATGATTTGTTTATTGTTTTCTAAGCTAGGTAAATGACATTCCTACTTTTCTGCAGTTTTAAAACTGGTAACATTTTGAAAGATTGCCATGATAGGGTAGAGAGAATGGATGAGTTGTTGAGTTGGAGAGGGAGTAAAGGGAAGCATCTTTAATCAGGACCTTACAGCCAGGCTTTGTAATCACATTAATCTAGAGATGTTAAAAGTTATAGAATACAATTACATTTGTTTTATTTAAGAATTATTGTCAATAGAGTTAAATTTTATTTTATTCAAAATAAGTTGATATATGTGGCCAGGAGGTTAATTTGCATTCCCAATCTGTTGCCTTTATTAGTAAATAATAGTTAAATTGTCTTCTGAAGGATTCCTTATTTTCTGTTAAATTTTTGAAGAGTTTTCTATTTTTTATTAGGAAACTTGAGATGGAAGCAAAGAGAAAACAAGAAGAAGAAGAGAGAAAGAAAAGGGAAGATGATGAAAAACGTATTCAAGTACGTACTTACTGGATTGAATTTCTATTAAAATGAAACCTACAGGCCGGGCGCTGTGGCTCATGCCTGTAATCCCAGCTCTTTGGGAGGCCGAGGCGGAAGGATCACGAGGTCAGAAGATCGAGACCATCCTGGCTAACGTGGTGAAACCCCATCTCTACTAAAAAAACCAAATTAGCTGGGTGTGGTGACGGGCACTTGTAGTCCCAGCTAATTGGGAGGTTGAGGCAGGAGAATGATGTGAACCTGGGAGGCGGAGCTTGTAGTGAGCCGAGATGGCACCACTGCACTCCAGCCTGGGCAACAGAGTGAGACTCTGTCTCAAAAATAAATAAATAAAATAAAATAAAATAAAAGGGAACCTACAAAGGAAGTGTAAATGAGATCTTGATTAGATAAGCTGTTACTAGTTTATCCCAGAGACCAAAGGCCAGTTTTTGAAGTGGTTGTGGGAATGGACTTTGGAACTAGGGAAGTGGATTCAAATCCAGGATCAGTCACTGACAGAAATTGTAACATTGTACAGATTATAGTGAGTAACTTGGGTCACAGTTTTCTCTTTGTAGAATGTGGATAGATAATAGTTGCGAGCATTTGATAGTTAATACATGTTAAAGCATTTTGAACACTGTGTACCTCAATAAATATTAATAATTGTTATTGTACCTAGCGGAGAGTCAAATGAAAATTCACTTAAAATGTTTTAAAATATCATACAACTTTGTAGATACTGGTATTAATAAATTAGGATTGAGATTCTCTCTCCACCCCTAGTTTTTAAAAAGTCCCTTGTTAAGAATAAATTGCTCATGTATTTGAGTTTCTGTTTGTCATGGCTTTCATAATATATCCTAAGCATAACCCAAACTTTAAATTCCTGACATCTGCTCTGTAGGTGCTAGTGTTAATGGGATGCCTAAGATACTCATATGATGTTTGGGACACTAATATTTATAGTCATAGAATTGTGAAGCTGTGCTTCTTCTGCCTTCTCTTGGTCTTGGGAAAGAGGCAAAATGGGGATGTGTTTGAAGCATTAATTATAATAAAGAAGAAAATAGAGACTGAAGAGATCTGTGCTTAAGCAATTCCTTAGTAAAGAACTTGTATGGGGGCAGTTATGCCTTCCCTTTTATTTTAAGTAATAAGGGGAGCGATCAAGTAAACAAGTGAAGAACTCTTGGTGAAATGGCTTTCTGCCCTTGTCAGGCTGAAGTGGAGGCACAGCTGGCCCGACAGAAGGAGGAGGAATCCCAGCAGCAAGCGGTTCTGGAGCAGGAGCGCAGGGACCGGGAGCTGGCCCTGAGGATTGCCCAGAGTGAAGCCGAGCTCATCAGTGATGAGGCCCAGGCCGACCTGGCACTGCGGAGGTACTGGGGCCCCTGGGTGGGGTATAGCGCTCTCTCCTTTGCTTTTTCTACCTCTGCCTCTCATTTCCATGCAAAAGGGAATAGGAGAAAATCATATTCTGAAGGCCCTGGTATATTTGAGCTAAAATAATGTTAAAATTATTTGTGTCAGCTTTCATACTCAAGTGAATGAAATAATTGGTTTTTCATCAAATTAATAAACTATTGAAAAATAAGACTAAAATTTCACTAATGAGTACTCTGTTAAGAAAACATATTAACTTTTACCCTGAAATTGTTTAAGAATGTAGTATATTAGGTAGGCACCTAATTTCTAAATACCTGTCATCAAACACTGGCATCGAAATAAGTGACTGTGTTATATAATGCAGTTTAATGTATTTGTAGTTGAGATTTTTCTAATGCAAAAAAATTTAATATGTTAAACATCCTGTTAGTTGAAATGAGAAATGTACTCTGCAGTGCCTCAGAATAAATGAGTTTCCCTTTCCAAGAAGGGAGAGTTAAATTCATTGAAATATTTTGGCTTCTAGGGTTTCTGAATTATCTCTAAGCACTCCACTATAGTGTGTAGGAATTTGGAAGCTCTTATTAAAATTTGCAGAAAGCTTTAATAGAATCATTTTTTAAAAAAATTAGTATGTAGAAGCATTAATTATTTTGATTATTTATAATAAAACTAATTTGTGAGGTTCCTTTGTATGTAGGTATATATATGTTGTGTATATATTGAGAGGCACATAGACACATGTAACCATGCTTTTCAGAACTTAAAAGCAGTTTATGACGAAATATAGAGTACAACCACTAGATGGCGATGTTTCCTTGTGAAAGGATCAAATTGCAATGTAATGGAGTATTTAGCAAAAAAACAAAAGACAGGGAAGGAAAGGGGTGTATAGAGTTGCCTTCACGTTTTTTCTGTTAGGTTGGTGCGAAAGTAATTGCGGTTTTTGGCATGGGTAAAGCTGCAATAACTTTTGCATCAACCAAATAGTATGTGATTGTATTGGGGAGCTCTGGGACTGCTTGTATATTAACATACATTATACTGTGAATAAACTGAATATGGCTGTATGAACAAAAGATGTTATAATTATTAAGCTCTTGGGTTTGAGTCTAATATTTGGGCTTTTTCAGATTTCACTATAATTAAAATATTTTAGCCCAGATAGGGCTTTTATAAATGCAGACTCAGCTCAGCTGCTGTTGTATTCCTTCCACCTGTGTTATGTCAGCATGATTGGGAGCCTTTATGTGTAACTGACTAGCCGCCTAGGGCAGGCTCTTAAATGAACCAAACTTTTACAGCTGCTATCCCTGATGTCTGTGAGGAAGTACTGCAGTTGACAGAGTTGGTTTTATTATGGCAGAAGTCAATTTCTCAGGGACTTGTTAATGTAGTCATTATTGGTACTTACTGTCAAGCTTTATGTTTATGCACTTGAAATATCAAGCTATATCCAGTGCCATTCCATATACTGTATACAAGATACTGGCTCATATGTGGACCCTTCCCATCTTCAGACAGGTACACTTCTTCCAGGTTGAGTAGTCTCTGAGAAAGAGTGGACCATTCAAATTTGTTTGACATAAACAAATTACCTGTAATTTAAATTAAGCAGAATTAGCTAGATAATGGGACCATATTAAGTAAAGAGGAGGTATTCAAATCATGACTTGAAAGGCAGAAGAGCTAGTTTTAGTTCTGTGGTTCAGACCTAGGGATGGTATGAGGAATGCCCTCCAAATCCTTTCTGTCAGCTCTCCGGGAAGCTTTCCCTGACCCTCAGGTCCTCATGAGCTCCTTCCCTTCTGGACGTCGTGGTGATTTTATACTCTGAACTACAAGCATTAGCACTTGATTATGAATGATATTCTGTACAGATATCGCATGTTTGATAGTTTAATCTTACTCCATGGGCTGTAGCTAAATGTTTTTGAATATTTATTTTACCTTTGTTAGCACTGAGTTTTTTCTATAACAAATTTATGAGTAAGAACCAAGTAAACTGTTCTTAATCTATAGCATGATGTTATTGGGTTCTATGCTGTGTTAAAAAATATATATATTATAGATTGATTCTGCTTCAATAAGCAATTTTAAGTTACTTTTCCAGCTTGGATTCCTATCCAGTAACTTCTAAGTAAGAATTGTTTTCGATGTATGTCATATGTTCTAAAATATAATTTCAATCAGTTATACATATGATCCTTGATGCAAAGAGATGTTTTCACATTACCTAAAATTGTAAAATAATATCCAGATTCTATTAAAAACAAACCTCACAATGTATGAATTTTCTAATCTAGATGTAATGTATTGGCTCTTTAATTTTCACTGCATGCCTTATTTTCCAATCATTTTTAATGAATTCTTAAAAAATATTAAAATTCTGAGTGATCTCATGTGTTGATTAGAAACAATTGAGTTTTTAAAATCAATGAGTAAAGTAATTGAAACACAAATTTGCACAATACAGATTTTCACAGTTCACAATTAGTTACGATATTAACTAAAATATATTCTTTTCACAGAAATGATGGAACAAGACCCAAAATGACACCGTATGTCACTTACCTTTACCTTTTTAAAAATAGGTTGCAGATATTTTTTGGGAGTAGTTTTCACATTGGAGTAAATTTTAAATTATTTTCTTCTGTTGAAAGACAATGAGATAACCTTTTTCATCTTTTTCTTGTCTAGGAAAAATGTTGAATGCTCTTCTTTGGTGCTCAATCACAGTAGCTCATGATTTGGTTTCCTTCTTTGTATCGTCTGCTTAAACCATAATGTAACACCCATTTTGTTTTGTGTTTTCTTTTTTTTTTTTTTTTGAGACAGAGTTTCGCCCTTGTTGCCCAGGCTAGAGTTCAGTGGTGTGATCTTGGCTCACTGCAACCTCTGCCTCTCAGGTTCAAGCGATTCTCCTGCCTCGGCCTCCCAAGTAGCTGGGACTACAGGCACACACCACCACACCTGGCTAATTTTGTATTTTTAGTAGAGACGGGGTTTCACCATGTTGGCCAGGATGGTCTCAATCTCTTGACCTCGTGATCCAAAGTACTGGGATTACAAGCATGAGTCACCGCACCTGGCCTGTTTTATGTATTTTTTTAAACTGCCCCTTCTTCTTTATAGAAGCAGGTGTGGAGGCATAAATAATAATAAAATATTTGATTTTCAGTATATATGATAGTTCATTCTGCTACATCTAAAATAATTCATAATCTGAAATTACATATGTAATGCTAACTTCGGTGCTAATGTATCTTTTTCTTATGAAAATCTACCCACAAAGAATCCAGGTAACATTTGGAGTATAAATTTTGTTATATAAAATATAAAACATATTTTGTATGTATGTTATGTATACTACATATAAGGATTTTGGAACATATATAAAATCTTTAATAGCTTTGAGGACTCCAGCTTAACATTTATGTTGATGGTTCTCAACTCTATCAGACTCCAGCCCCAATAACAATTTTTTTAATAAACTATGCAACCTATGTAAATAACTGTCCAAACAATATACATAAAGTAGAAATACAAGGATAGTCATTTATAATAAAACATACTTATTTAATATGAAAGTGCTTGTGCATTACTGCAGTAGAAGACATGATAAGTGATCAGATGTTTTTGTTTATGTATAGAATCATCACGAATGCTGTAGCTACAAATACAAATTGATATAGAAATGTTGTGTTGGGCATTCACATGCCATGAAATTGTGAACAGTCCTTTGTGAAGTTCTGAACAGAGCCAAGTACAATATTCTCTCAATTACACAGTATTTGTGTAAGCCCTAGAAAAATTCTGTGAATATTAAAGGCATGCAGAAAATACGTTGTTTACATGTAAAATAGGTGTTTGTATGTGTTTTTCACCTCTGTATGTCTGACGGACATGTTAAAGTTAAATGGGGCATGGAGCAGTTCTTCCTTGGGTAGGACATTTGGCATTCCTTTCCCCTTACATCAGCAGATGACAGGAGTATACTCACACATCGTTGTTACCACAATACTGCCCCAAATTTTGAAAATACCTCTGAGTGGGTACTCTTGCCCTCCATTGCCGTAACTGCTTTATAGTTAACCATTTGAGCTTGAATTAAATAAGTCCTGCAGTCAATGTCTAAGGTGAAATTGTATTTGCATATAGTGTGGTAAAATCAGAAGGAAGAAAGCGCCTGGGTGCAGGAACCATTTCTGTCTGGTGAATTTGTTGTAGTGTATTGGTCTAGGTCAGGTGTATCTTGATGTAGGGTCAAGGAGGATAATGCATCAGTAGAGACTGCCATCCATTGTACTGTCAAAGCACACAGAAAAACACCTGTATGATCAACAGACCCAGTGGTAAAGAGATTTGAAAGTCCATGGACTCCCTTAAAACCTAACCATGGGAAAAGAAATGGAGGAAGCTTTAGGAGGAAAAGATGGTAAAAACAGATGCTCTTGAATCCTGAGACAAAAATCTTGAGGTGGAGTGATAATACAATTAAACATACCTATCAAAATCATGCTGCATTTGAAAGTGAGAAGATTCTGAGAAACTACTAGCTTAAAGAGAGATTGATAAATGTATTGCTCAAAAGATAATTTTTATTAGATTGTATTTGTGTTACATTTTGTTTTTGCTGTCCTTCAATGTCAGCTTTGAAGGATATCTTGTTCTCTGACTGTGCTTTCTTAGACCTCCATCCGTACATAATTGTAGACAGTGTTCATTATGAGAAAAGAGGAATACAGGAGTCTTCTGCTCCTTTAGTCAGGGTCCCAGCTCTTGGCAGGCGTTCAGGAAATTGCGCCTCGAAGCAAATATACCCATCCTCTTTTCTTATGATTTTACTGATTTGGAAGGGTTTGAGGTTACTAGAGTTTGATGAGTAGAATGAATGAGAAAATAATTATGAAGGAAAAGAGCAAAGAGCAGGGAAATAAGTTAAAGAAGTGTTGATGAACACTATGAAACTTCATTCCCTTTTAAAGAATTAAACAAATTTTGAGAAAAGTTACACTCTTTTGGGTAACAAAAGCAAAGTAAGTTTTTTGCCTTTGGCAAATGTTTATCCTTGGAAGGTCAGAATGCCTCAGATCTTTCATTAGTCCCTGTTTTGATATTCTTTTTCTTAAGAGCATGCTTCGATTTGGAATTTTAGAGCTTTGAATACATCAGATTCTTTTTTAAACTCTGACGCTGTCAAATACATCCGCTTGTGGTTTTCCACCATTGTGCCTTATCTAATTAATATTTACTAAACAACTGTGGTGCAAAAATCCTCATATGGAATCTATATCTTGCCAAGTTTCCTGTATGGATTTAGACCATGTTATTTGTATTCTGTATGTAAAAGGATACCATAAAAGCTTTCCTGAGATTTTATCTAAAAGTTGCTACTGCAAAAATGGAGAGGCATTCAGATAACTTTAACTGGATTTAAATAAAAATATTGCTGTGTGTTATGGCTGGATTTGTTGAAAACTATATCATAGGCATTAACAAAGTAAAACAGTTATAAACAGTTGTTAAATAATATTGAAAAAATATATTTTAATTATACTTTTAGATATTTTAATTAATTTATGTAGTATGCCTTTTATGTAACCATATTGTGTTATCATTTTTCTTGTAGGGAACAAATGGCCAAAGAAATGTCAGAATTTTTGAGTAGGTTAGTGCAGTGTAATTGGGGGAAATGAGTGTTCACCTCAAAATCATATTTTAAAATTACTTTTGATTATTTGGACCAGAACCTGTTACATGAGTAGCCTGCTTTTTCTATGTAAAGTGATATTTATTTCTGTACAAGAAATATCACTTCTCCCTCACCTCACCCAACAAAGAAAAAGTTAAAAAGCAGTATTCCTTCAAAGTCGTGGGGATACCATTGGCATTTTGAATGGGACAGTTCCCTTGGCAGTGGAACTCTACTGCTTATCTCTGGCTGCCACCAGTAAGGGATTTCTTCCCCTCATCATGACAAAATGAGTATTTCGCAGTTCTCCCTGGGCTGGTGCTGCCCGTAATTTGTGCCTCGTTGAAGAGGAGGCAGAGGAAGAGCATGGCTCTTGAGGGGCTCTGCACTATGGCACATGGTTTGAAAACCACTGGTGTAAATTGAGCCACCAACAGGATCTGGTCCGTTACTTTTATAAATGGATATGATTCACTAACATGTTAATTCTTAATTTTGAAGTTATAAAGATAATTAATAGTGTTAATATATTTTAAAAAATCAGTGTGCTACTGTTGTATTCTTTACATGATTGTCTTTATAGCAAGTCTGAATAATCAGCAAATTACCCCTTTACTATTTTAGTAACTCCAGAAATGGAGGTGGGGAAACCTTTAAATGTGTTGCATTGATGTACTACTTTGGATGCTATGTTTTTTAGTAGATGTACTTTTGTTTCAGTTAATAGGAATGAAAAGTTAGTGTTATTAAAACCATATTTTAAGCAATAATCATTTGAATTTAATGTAATTTTTAAAAGTATCAAAACACATTTTACATGTATTCTAATACCTTATATACATTGACAATCTATAAAACTGTCTGTATGTCAGTTTACTTCTTCTTTCAAAAGAAAACAACAAGAACAAAACAATAATTTTCAGCTGTCCTCTTAGAAAAGAGTCCCAGAACAGCTTAAAAATAAAGGGATTTTTTTTTTTGGTTTATTGATTGGTAGTTTAGGGATGTACAAAAGGCAAAGAATATTTGAATAAATGTAAAAGCATAATTTATTGTTAAGGAAATGAGAGACCTTGCTGATACACAGCTGGCCGTTTTTGAGCAAAGCAATTAAGACCAAAAAGCTACATGGAAAATTGCCACTTACACCGCTTATGAAAAGTATAGATTCTGCAACAAAGCTAAAACAGATTTTAATCATAAAAATACAGGAAGGACTAATGGCCACACATTATTCTTTAGCTAGTCTTATGTGTAACTAACAATCACTACGTCAAACAATTTTAAGTATGTAGGATGAAGAATGCTATTTTTTATTCTCTAGAAAGAAAGCATATGCAGGCCTTTTAAAGAAGCGAGGGCACCTTATTTATTTCATTGTTAAGCTTAATATTGAAAAAATAATTTCCTTTACTTCAGGAAGAAAGTAACATATTCTCAGACATCATTTTTCAATTAAGTATGTGTCTTCACTGCTTGCCAGGATGGCTGTTATCTTTCAAAATGTAAAAGACTGAGGAAATACATGTTTATTTTCAGGTATTATATTTTGATCAACCCTCTTTAAGAGGAAGTATCTTCCAGGTAGTAGATGATAATGGAGAATTTCCTTGTGTGATATATAAGAAGCAATACTTTCGTTTTTTAATACTTATTTTAATATTTTGTGCCACCTTATTTTCATGTCTTGAAATGTGATGTATTTAAACTCTTCCTTTGTTACATTGAGCTTAAAGTCTTGCAGCTTATTCTGCGTGTCTGCTATTTGCAAGTATAATCTTTTGCTGAAAAATAAGTGTATTATTACAGAAAAGAAATTGTTCCCATATTTTCTGATTAATGATCTCAAATTATATGCATAAAAGTCTTAAAGACCAGGTGTGGTGGCTCACGCCTGTAATCCCAGCACTTTGGGAGACTGAGGTGGGCAGATCACTTGAGCTCAGGAGTTTGAGACCAGCCCAGGCAACATGGCGAGACCCCATCTCTACAAAAAATACAAAAATTAGCCCGGCTGGTTGGTGGGTGCCTGTAGTCCCAGCTATTTAGGCGACTGAGAGAGTAGAACAGGCTACTCATGTAACAGGAGAATTGCTTGAGCCCGGTGGTGGAGGTTGCAGTGAGCCAAGATTGTACCACTGCACTCCAGCCTGGGTGACAGAGCCAGACCCTTTCTCAAAAAAACAAAACAAAACAAAACAAAAACTAAACAAACAACAAAAAAACAAGCAGGCCTTAAAGTACTGAGTAGCCCTGTTTTGAAAAAGTTGAATTTATTTCATTTAATTGCGTGCTTTGGATTTTATTTCTTTTCTCTTTCCTCATACAAATGTTCCTACTAAATGGGTCATAATACAATACTTGTGCCCTTTGAAGTCTCTGTTATTTACCTCATGAGCTAAAATCTCTTGAATTTACTAGTTTTCTTATTATGAGGGTATGGATTTTGTCTGCTTATAGGACTTTTCTAAGTGTTCTTATAGCAGTGAAGCCTAGAAAGTAAGAGTTTCCAGATTCCATCCGTTCTTTTAGCTGACTTTAATGACTCTAATGTGGTGGGTTGCAGGTCTGGCTACTTACCTATATACTCCGTAAACATCCAGAGGCCCAGGGATATTCTGAGCCACTGTGCGTGAATGGAGTTTGGCCGTCTGTAGCTTTCAGCAGTCTCTCCGGGTGGTCGCACTGTGCAGCCTCATGGCTCATAAACAAAACTTCGATATGCTTTTAATGATCTTTCAAGTGTGTTGAGGATTTCTTTTTTGATTTTGAGGAATATATATCAGTATATTTTTAAACTTTAAATTTAGTTCATATGTACATTAGTAAAAACATTGAAACTGAAGTCTGGGGGAAGTTTGTGGAACTAGAATATTAGAATCAAAAGTTTGGACTTAAAATCTAATATGACTATCAAGTGGCATGCTGGAAAATTTTAATTTATTTGGCTGTCTTTTAGTATGCCATTCTTAATCTCATCTGTCAAAGAAACAAAAATTATATTTTTCTAGTAGCTGTTTCCGGTTTTCAAACTTATGCATGCTTTCTTGCCTCTTTAGTCAATGTTTTCTTCATGTTTCTGGTTTAAACATGTAAAAATGTATAATAATTACAGAGGTCCTGCTGTACAAGCTACCAAAGCAGCTGCTGGTACCAAGAAATATGATCTTAGTAAATGGAAATATGCAGAACTACGTGATACCATCAATACTTCTTGTGGTAAGTGTTTGGAGAAGATCAATAATAGCAAATGTTCATAGTGATAGGTGATAAACACATAGATTGGGGTGAGGGGTGTGTGTGTGTGTGTGTATGTATATATGTATATATAAATATATGTGTATAAATATATATATGTATATATAATACCTATATTATCTGAATCTTTGGTCCATGAATGCAAAGTAACAAATAACAATCCAATGTTTCTTTTCAAGGCTATTTTTCTTCCCACAGAACAATTAGAGTAAAATACTATATCCAGAGGATCCCACATAGTTGTGTTATTTAAATCACAGTGTTTGAATTCAGAAAACTATGAGTAGGAACGATGAATTCAGAAAACTATGACTAGAAACAAAAGTATCAAAATTGTACATAATTTCTCACTATATTCTTTCCCTCCATTTAGTATATCTACATAATTAGAAAAGTCTTGCTTATAAATCTAGTTTGTATTTTATCACAGTGACTTTTTACTCTATTATCAAGACTTGTGGGCTTCGACAAGTTGTTTAACGTTTCTGATTCAGTTCCTTCATATATACCTGTTTAGTTCAGAGTTCTGTGGAGCAAATGATATAAGATATTATGACATAAGGAAATGATCTGTAAATTTGAACAATATTATAAAATGCTTATCTTTATGAATAACTAGCTTACTTTTGATTTTGTATCATTAATTTAAAAATAAAAAAATCTTATGCCACAGAATAATTATATTATTATGTTAGATGAATAAATTAACATGTCATTTTTTTTTTTCTCTGTGTAATCAATAGATATTGAGCTCCTGGCAGCTTGCAGAGAAGAATTTCATAGGAGACTAAAGGTGTACCACGCTTGGAAATCTAAGAACAAGAAGAGAAATACTGAAACAGAGCAACGTGCTCCAAAGTCTGTTACTGATTATGGTAAAAACAAATCTGTACTTTTGAATGTTTTAAAATATATACATATAAATGCATGTATCTGTACTTAAGACATTTGGGTAAAATGTCCCATATAAATTTTCTCCTGCTGTAGAACTGTGAGCCATTGAATCTAATACAGCCTTGATGGCCTTTTATAGCATTATTTTTATGAGTATGTCTTTAAACTCTTTCTTGTTAAGATACATTGAATTTACTATAATTCAGACAATAATTTTCTTGTCTGTATTGAAGAGGGTGTGCATGTATAATTTTCACACATACACACCCACACACACACGCACACACTCACAAGATTAAATGTGAAAATGTCAGGATTGCCATGCATCTTTTACTTTACATGTGAAATGAATTTCACATATGAAAATGAGTTGCTAAATAGGATGATGGTTAGTTTTTATTTTTAAATTTTCTATAATTTTTATTTTTTAAATAAATAGAGATGAAGTCTTGCTATTTTGTCCAGGCTGGTGTCAAACTGCTGGGCTCAAGCAGTCCTCCTGCCTTGGCCTCCCAAAGTGCTGGGATTATAGGCATGAGCTACTGCTCCCACCCCTTTTTCTAATTTTTAAAATTGAATGTAGCTCAGTTTTTAGAAATAGTTCCCTGAAATACCCAATATTGTTATCTTTTTTATATGTCAGTATAAGTACTTTTCTGTTGCTCCCAGAATAGGGTTATAGCCTGGAAAAAGAAAGGAATTGATTCATGCATTGTCCATTTACACTCTTAATTCCTTTGTTTCAAAGAGAATTTTACTGCAAACATTATTTTACAATACTGTGAATATATGAAAGTGAGAAATACTACCTTGCTTCTGACTACAGTTTTGCCTAGATCAAGATTTGATTTTTTGATTGGGATCCTGAACATGGATTTTGTTACTTTGTTATGCAAAATGCCAAGGTGTATACTTGAAATTGGAAAGTAGAGCAGGAGAGATATAACCTAGTAAAAGCATGCATGAACTTGAACATTAACTGAGCATACGTGTGATATGTGAGTTGTAATTTCAATCTTTAAAGCAATAATTGGACTTACTATGTTTAAGTTGGCACAATTTATTAGCTTAATTCTGGTTAACATCAAGGTGACAACAGATTTAATATTTTGTGGTTTTTTTTCCCCCAAGGGGTGTATTCCCAACAGTTGATAGCATAGTTTAGCAATGCAGGACCCAAGTTGACTTAAAAAATGAGTTCTTGGTTATATTTTGCTTCCTCACTACCTTCGAAGTAAATAAAAGCAATGTTTAAATAAAATCAATTTAATAGTGGAATTTTAGCGTTTCTAAGTTGTTGCAAAGAATAGATTGAGTGAGGGCAATATTATTATTAATAAGGGTAATATTAGTGCCAGTGATTGCTCAAGAGATGGCAGTCAGAATGTAGGACTATGCAAGGGCAGTGGGAGGTCACTTGTAACCAAGAAGTGGCAGGTGGAAGCCACACTAAACACTGTGACACCACTCTCTTCTCCAGTTTCATGTTTCTCCTCTTCGAATTGAACACAACAAAATGATTACGTTAGCTGTTCACTGTCTGTGTACTGAGTTCTGACCACAGATTACCTTTGTTTTGCAAAAAATGACAATGGACTGTTCTTTTTAGCTGTAAATGTTATAATTACTACCTTTAGCTTGACAGACTTTCATTATATTGTATTTCAAAATTAATACATCTGAGTGATCACACTTCTTAAAACAAAGAGCGGTTCTTGTAATATTTGGCACACACATTTTAAATTAATATACACGTATTTATTGTATTTGTGACTCAAACTTTGATACCTTATTCATCTAGCTTTACCCAAAAAAGATGCAAATAATATGTGGCTCACCTTGCCGGTTCAACTACTGTTTCTGTTTGTAATATATTATTTGGGAAAACAAAAGAGTAGATTAGGAAAATTTCATAAGGGTTCTATCAAGGTTTATGAACAAATTTAGGAATTTATGTGAACACAACCCCACACATACATATTAAGCCTTCAGAGAACTTGATTATGAGTCGTTTTCAGGATATATTTTATCAAATGTAACTTCTGCTCTGAAAAGTACTTTTTTTGCTTTTCTCTTTCTCTTTATGTTCTTATGTAAAATTCATCCTGACACAGGAGCATAGCTAAAAGCAAAGGTAAAGAGCACCAAGAAGCTCAATTGAGAAAATTCTATACTTAGATGATTTCCTAATGTGGCAGCCAAACACCCTTTAAAAGGAAGTACTGTGTAGTCTAATATTTAGAAGGAACAGTTCATTAATTTGAGAAAAAATGATGACAACTTATGATTAACAAAAATGTAGCTTCATATGGTTGACCTAAAGAGTAATACGTTGACAGCTAATGGTAAACTCTTAAAATAATACTTAAGGAGCCTCAGACCCTCTTCCTGTTACTTTCCTGGATGAGCATGCTCTCATCTCATTTACTGCAGAGGGAGATTTTTAGAAATAATTTTTTGGGCAGTAGCAAATCACCTAGTAAATATTTATAGTAATTGTTTAAAACAATGATTTTTGAAAGTAGTTGTATAGTTTCTAAAATAAAAATGGCATAAGTTTAAGATTTAGAGAGTTTAAAGAAAGCAAAACATACTGTTATCAACAAGTAGTAATGTTTTTACTCCTGTAATGTATATAATTTTCTGATGAATTCTCATTATTTTCTATGAAAATTCTAGTAATGTATGAAAGGTACTATAATGTCTCTTAAGTCATTGTTTTTGTTTGGATATATGTTCCAAAAATCACAAATGAAGTGTGATTTTTAAATTTTGGTCCTCTTTATATGTGCTTCAATCAGAAATTTCCTAAGCCTAATCAGTCAAAATAGCCTTTTAAAAAAATCAGAAAGCAGCACCTGCTTTTAGGTAATTCTGAGAATATTTGGCTTGTGGATAGGATATTTACTTTTCAGTCACCACCTCAATTGATGGGAAGACTTTTATAAATTAGAAAACTGCTCATTTAACAGTTTTGGCATTTTTATCTTTTCTTCAACATAAAATATTTGTTCACAGATTTTGCACCATTTTTGAACAGTTCACGTAAGTCAATGGGTGGTAACTCATGAGCTAACTGGAAGATGGGTTAAAACACTTTACAAAGTACTAACTTCTATTAAACGTTGTTTTGCTACAATTTTAAGTGGAATTGTAGTGTGTTAAAGTTGCTATATCCATACTAAGATATATTTTAATTTGAGATGGTGCTTTATTTGGATCACTCCAATATGTATATATATTACAAAAAATCTAATGAAATTAATGTTTTATCAAATTACTTGCATTAAGAAAATGACTAGCATTTTAAGCTGAGAGAGTATACAATTCTTATTGTAGCAAAACTCTTAACATAGCAGCTGACCTTTTAGAATAAAGACTAACTTTTAGGTGCTGGTTTTTGGTCACTGTATTTTCAAACACTGATGGTGTCTGCATTTCTGTCTAAAGGTATTTTAGTTTTATAGATAATGTGATAGTGTATACAGGTTTAATAATGATACCTCCTTAAATAGAGGAGATTATTGTTACATTTATAGCTTCTTATGATACACATTCTTTGATAATTTAAAAGCTTTTAGTCACCTTAGTGTACAGTAAATCTCTTACAGAATTAGTTGGGCAGTAATGATTTGGATATAATGTCACATTCATTTTCCAACTGGTTGGACCTTATGTTTTGAAGTGCTACTTATAATTTATAGGGCTGCATTTGAAGATTATACAATTGAATATGAGGGAAAGTTGTTTAGAATATTAGTTTCAAGCTTTTAATGTCTGTCTGTATCTTTGTGTTTTTCCAGATAAGTATTCATTTCTAGTCTTCCCCAACAAAATTTCAGTTCTCCCATTAGTAAGAGAAGCTATCAAAGACTTTCTATTTAGTTTCTTAATTTTATCCAGTATCTTAACTTACAGGAGACTTACTTCAAATTAAAAAGTAGGTTAATTAATGAATGACTATCAGTATCATGGTAAATTTCCCATAAACTGGACATTAAATTCTGATTCACTACTTAAGATGGAGGGAAGGTTTTAAAATTCTTATTTTTGAATTAGTACATTTTCCACAATGTAGGGAGTTTTAAAAACTTAAAGTAGAAACACTGAACTGTAAGTAGCTCTGGGAAAACAGGAGCGAAAGAATAGATAAGCAGATGTCTGTTAATATGTGATGCAACTTTTAAAGTTACTAACAAAACCGGGCCTCTCGTTCCTTCATAGGCATATTTAGCTTTGCTAACTGCTTTTTCCTTTCTCTGGTTTGCAAAGAAATAAATTCAACTGCTATAAAGCTTTTGCTATTTCTTGGTATAAAAAGTAGAATAAGAGTATTTTCATCCTTTCAGTATTTGCAAATTCTTACAGAAGCCATGTAGCTGTTCTCGACTTTATATCATATGTATATTTTACAGTATTTCTTTGACACACTTAGATTTTCATAGTGAGACTCTTAATTGAGCTGCTGTAAATGGTTGGTCCACTTTTGAAGTTCTGTGAGTATAAAACATATTAAACAGGCTAACCAAACTTGTACTGCTAAAGATGTAAAGTCATTGCCCCAGGGAAATGTTTACATTTGCAGATAAAGTAAAAACCTAATTGTTAAGTAATGAAAATTGAGCTAGGAATGAAAGATTGATATGAATGAAATGCCCAGTACTAGTAGAAAAGCAAGGATTTTTCTTTTCTATTGACAAGGAGAATCAAATGTTACATACTTTGCGCTTACTTCATTGGATTTTATTCCAAAAGAAATCTGATTTCAGAGTAAGTAATTATCTTTAAGGGAAAGTTTATGCTTACTGTTATAAGGTGGGTTTTTTTTTTGTCATATGGTTATCTAAATATTGTTAATATCTGTGTTATTTGGTCATTTTAAATCCTAAAATTTGTTGGCAAAAGAAAAAAATTTTATATGACTTCTACTTTTTGTGGAAATAGTGATTAAATTGACAAATGTCTACATCCTTCAGATTTTTGAAATTACTGTTTACTTTGTTCTATCATAAATAGTCTAATAAAAGTTACTCGACAAATTTGAACTCTTTGGAGGAAGAATATAAATTTAGTGAATAATAGTAGTTTGTTTTCCTGATATATGAGTTTATTTTAGGTTACTGTTACAGTGATTTGTGGGAATCTGATAGGGGTTTGTTGCTGGTGGTGGTGGTGGGGTGCGTGTGTGTGTGTTTGCAATGCTAAGAAACTTCTTAAGGGAAAGACAATTCTAAGAAGTAACACTCTGAATTTTATTAATTTGTAGGCAATAAATATTTGCATTTTGTTTTAAATTTACTATTAGGGACCTTTCTTCTTTTTAAAAAATTATTGGGGGTATATTTTAGGATCAAAGGCTCTTTTCTTTTCCCTTAAGCTGCTGGTATAAGTTTCCTTGTTCTGTGTAATAGCTCAGCAGAACCCAGCAGCTCAGATTCCTGCCAGGCAGCAGGAGATTGAAATGAACCGACAGCAACGCTTCTTCCGCATCCCATTCATCCGCCCTGCCGACCAGTACAAAGACCCTCAGAATAAGAAAAAAGGCTGGTGGTATGCCCATTTTGATGGACCATGGATTGCCCGGCAAATGGAACTCCATCCTGACAAGCCACCCATCCTACTTGTGGCTGGTGTGTATGATTCACATGAAAAATAAATTATTAAACAAAAAAGATCATAAACTCTCTGACTGAAACATTCCAATGTATAATATAATAATTTATTAAATTTCAGGGTTGAGGGATGGAGTCTTGTGGTTAAGTCATATTTCCAGTTCATTGAGGATTAACTCATTTATAAATGTGAAATTGCTTGGATTAAATTATGTTCTTAGCACATAGAAACTTGTCTGTATCCTAAAAACCTTTCCATTTGTGTTTTATCATATCCATTGATTTGTAATGGCTTGAAGAAATGTAGCATTTTTATTAACCCTGATAATTTGTTTGATCAATAGCAGTGTTTATTAAAATTGAAAGGGTCCTTGATGGGGGACAAATTTTAATTGTTTCTAGTGATTTTGTTAAGCAGATTTCCATCTTAGAGAAAAATAAAGTCTTAGGAAGTTTTCAGATCTATGAGAATTAATAGGTATTTCAGGAATACAATTGGTAAGAAATGGTCCTGAAGAGAGAGATGGTAATTTTCTGATATCTCACGGATACAGGTAAGGACGACATGGAGATGTGTGAGCTGAATCTTGAGGAGACTGGCCTGACTCGGAAGCGTGGTGCTGAGATCTTGCCAAGACAGTTTGAAGAAATCTGGGAACGCTGTGGAGGCATCCAGTACCTTCAGAATGCGATTGAGAGCAGACAGGCTCGGCCCACCTATGCAACAGCCATGCTGCAGAATCTGTTAAAGTAGATGTTGCACACCAGCCTTACAGCTGGGAACCTTTGCCATGGTACTTAGGTAGGGTGTGTGCCCCCAGATTTAACCATTCCATAATCATGTTAGAGTTACTTCTATAAAGTGAACAGATTTTATTAATCATGGCTTTTGGTGAATTTGTTTAAGGTTAATTATGGTAGCAAATTTTGGACCTAAAAATTATTTTTCTGTATCCCGCTGTAACTCCTAAAACTCTCATTATTCTCTAACTATTACACTTGGGCACATTCTCATGTTTCTCATCCTTTGCCAGAAGACTACCTTAATCCATCATAATTGTTCTCTAGGAAAAGAGAACTTTTTTCAATATTCAAAATACTTTTTAAGGATGGCACAGTACCATATAACTGGAGTAATAAAACATGAGCTTACAGTCTTACAATAACTAAGCCACTTAAAATGATCCAGGCACTAATGTTTTGGTCTGAAAAGCTGTGTACTTTCGTTATGGACATTTTCAGAAATTTTTGGAAATTTCCATTAAAGGTGGAAAATCTATTATTTTCCTCCTTTGCAATGTGTTAGTTTGAGTGAAACACTTCTAAGTTCTACAATTCTAGAAAGAGCCTTAATGTATTTGATGTATTCTGTGATAAGAGGTACTAAATAGTATCCAGCACAGATTTGCTTTTCTTTGCTAGCAAAATGTGTGTTGCTGTCAGAATATTCTTTTTATATTCCATGGAAAAATAAAGGAAATTCAGATTGTTTAAATGCCTAAAAGTTTTGAGATAAGTTTTGTTTCAATTAGGAAAGGAAATAGATTTTAGGTGGCATAATGGCTTAACTGGACTGAATTCAAATACTCTTTCAATTTCATCTCAATAGCGATTTTTGTATAAGAATCTTGTCCAAGTTGTTCATTGATTTAGCAAGTGTTCTGCTTCCTACATCTTTCTTTTTAAGAAATTCCTAGTGTCTTTTTTGGCCTTTGAGGTTTTGGTAACTGTAGACCTGTTTCATAAGCTTTGTAATTCAGAAGTCCTTGTATTTAGTAAGTGCTTGTTTTACATAACTGATAATTTTAAAATGTTTTATTTGTGTGCTGTTAGTATTGATTCAAATGTCAGCAGCTTTAAGCCTAATATTTATGACTTTCATATTAGGAATTTAAAGACAAAAATACATAAAGGAGTTATGCTGACATAATTCTAAGGAGTTTTGTTGTATTTTAGAATAAAATTATAAAGTAAAATTATTCTCTGTACTGCTTTTTTCTCCAGATTTTAGAGACCCTAACCTTTGAAATGAAATTCCAGTGATTTCTTTTTTCCCTAGAAAGATTACCTCAGTTAGAGAAGTATTTCCCAGCTGACTAGTGTTTGTGAGCCACAGACACTGTCTTCAGAATTGATTCTCTCATAATGTCTTAGTATAGAAATGTTTATTTATTATGATACATGCAAATGATTGTCTTGAGTTAAATGGTCGTGTCTGTGCTATTAATTGAGAATGCAAATGTGATTATCTTTTGAAGGCTGTATTACTGCATAGATTCACCCACCCTTGGGTCATTTAGTCCCTGTGATTGGTGACAGAAGGTATAGCTACTGAAATAAATGACCTATTCTCTCTCTTCCATCTCTCGCCTTTAATTGGTGTTTTTATTTGTGTAGGATATAAGGTTTGTTCCTAACCAGTAGTGAGTAAAGTTCTTGAACAAAATTTAGTAGCCAAATTGGTTTTTAATGATGTGTCTCTTTAGTACGTTTTTCAGAAATAGTTTTATAAATCTTTTAGGTACATTAATAGGCACTAGATGGAAAATTAAAGAGTTAAACTTATTTAAATGAGAGAATCTAATGTTTTAAGAAATTTGTAAGAAATGTATCACAGCAAAGCATTGTTATAAGTGCTTAGTTTTTGACTCTAATAATTAATACAATTATAGTTAATTTTAAGCGATAATGTTTCTAATCATGTCACATAGCTGTCCTAGAACTTATCTATTTAAAATAGTTTCCTGAGTTAATTTTGGCCAGCAGGGCAACTGCCCTAATGCAGATAGACTTACAGTAACCTACGTACAATAGATGCACATGCACAGAGATGCCCCTTTGCTGGAGAAACTTAGGACCCTGTCAGCCTTTTAAAGGAAACAGCAGGAATGGTGTCCTAAATGGTGTTCATGCAGCTGCTTCACCATGTTCACAGTCAAGCCCATGCATGCCAGGTTAAAACTGTGGAAGTCAAAGGTAAATTCACTCATATTTTAATCAGTCATTTTAAGTGAGATTTAAAATTAGAAGTTTAAACCACTGTATCTAAAGAACTAATCTTTTCTTAATACCAGTTCCTTCCATAGCATATGCTTTGCAAAGGCAGCATGCATAAAATACTTAAAATGAGAGGACAGAATGTTTTCACACTTAATTCAATTATAATGTAATTCCTAATTCTGGTAACACAGTTGAGATATGTATTACGAGTTATGGGAACTCATTGGGAAAAGGAAGTTACTCTAATTCGCGTACATTAAGAGAATACTGAGTTTTCTTAGTTGTAAAGTTGGGGAGATGGCACCTTCTCAGAGAAAGGTGAAAATATGAGGAAGAAACAAAATAGTGCATGTAGGAGCACAGGGCCACACAAAGGCAGTCTATTGTTACGCTCATTCTGCTTCTGTCATGACTTTTCATAGGTCATTCTTGTGAACCATTTTGTTTTGCAAGCAACCGAGGAAAGATCATCTTAAGTGGAAAATCAGTGGTGGTTGTGAACACTTAGAGAATAGCAATCCACAGGCAAGAATAATGGTATTGTTTGTAGAGCTTTATTAATTAGATATTTTTTAAAAGACATTTTCATTCACAAGTTATTACTATAGTTCTCAGGGTATCCAAACATGAAGATCATTGTTTTTTGTTTTTTTTTGTTTGTTTGTTTGTTTTACCTGAAGTAGCTTAAGAGTACTTGGATCAGTAGAATAAATATTTATTGAGTCAATCAGTCAGCCAATTAATATCATGTTAGTGACAGACCTGCCTCCTTTTATGGAAGAGGTAACAGATCCAGAGCGATCAAGTAATTTAGTTCTAGACTGAAAAATATATCAAAGCCTTTGCTCCAATCATATGTAATAAAAAGAACCAAAACAAATACTTTTTAGTAGCCCCTGTGGATTTACAAAGGGTTGCCCCTCTGTCATTCCACAAATTGAGAAGGTGTGACAGGTCTTCCCTATTTATCATTACCAATAATAACAAGTATTGAGAGTTTTAAAATTTATCCCAGAAGATAAACTAACAAGGACGGAAGGACAGAGAATATCTAAACATGAGAATAAGAATATGTTGGAGTTGGGGGAGCAGTTGTAACAATAAGGAAAGAAAAGAGCAGCAGTGGAAGAGACAGGTTGTGTGCCCCTAAAGATTCTGCACCCCTAGTTTGGAACCACTGATACATTTTAGGACACAGAGCACTCGTAGATCTCTACTAAGTTTTAGAATGAATAATGTGTAATTTATAGGATCAGAACCTATGGTTATTAAAACTTGGATCAAGATATGCTCAGTGTACACATTCTTAGCATATAGGAATGGCACTGCCACACTGGAGAAGGTCAGCAGTAAACAGGCGTTCTGTACATAAGCCTCATGGAAGGGTAAGATGGAGAGACTGGCAGAGGTAGCGCCTACTCTGCTGGGACCGCATCTTTGAGTACGCTTTAGTTCAATTCAAATCAGTGTATTCTTTCCCCATTGCTAACCTAATATATGAAGCAAGCTTAGCTGTCTCAGAAGTTTTTCAAGAGATAATCAGGAATAATTAATGCACATTCAAAAGGAGAATCTTCAATACTAATTTGTTTTTTAAAAAATAGATTTAGGGCTGGGCGTGGTGGCTCACACCTGTAATCCCAGCACTTTGGGAGGCGGAGGCGGGTGGATCACGAGGTCAGGACTTCGAGACCAGCCTGTTTCACCCCATCTCTACTAAAAATACAAAACATTAGCCAGGTGTGGTAGTGGGTACTTGTTAATCCCAACTACTCAGGAGACTGAGGCAGGAGAAGTGCTTGAACGCAGGAGGCAGATGTTGCAGTGAGCCGAGACGGCGCCATTGCACTCCAGCCTGGGTGACAAAAAAAAAAAAAAAGATTTAGGGGGTACCAGTGCAGTTTTGTTACGTGGGTATATTGCACAGTGGTAAAATCTGGGCTTTTAGTGTACCTAACGCTCAGATAAGCATACATTGTGCCCAATAGGTAATTTTTCATCCCTAAAGCTTTTCTCCCCCTCCCACTCTCTGGAGTCTCCAGTGTCAGTTATTCTACTCTCTATGGCCATATCTACACATTTAATCCTGATTTGTACCAAGTAGCAGCTTACCTTTAAATCACAGGTTTATACGTTGGTGGTTTTCTTTTTACTTACGAAAATTCATCTAGTCAAACTGTCAGTGTTTCCTCATTTCATTAAAAGTGTATATCTAATGCTTTCTCTAAAAACTGATGTACTGGAAATACAAATAAATAAATGCTCCCTGTGTAGAATTTCCACTTGCATCTTGTGCTTTCAATACAGTTACAGGGTGTCATGAACAGGTTGTAAATGGTGCACTTATTGCCATGTTTCAGATGGAATAAGTTGGAGAATTCTGGGCTCCTGAAGCTTGATCCAGTTGCCAGGGCTGGAAGCGCTGTGTTAGGTGGCTGCAGGAAGAAGCAAGGAACTCAAGGCGATTGAAACGTCTTTGAACATTGGCCCCAAATTTCCTATGTGATCTCCATCCAGGAAACAGGCAGGACTCTGTGTGAGTGACAGCTACTTATTTTGCTGAGATTAGAGAGACACCAAATTTTGGCTGCCTTTCTCCAGACCCTTACTAATCTGTGAGAAGACACAGGATGTAAAAAGTGGGGACCCAAAGAAGGCTCCTTCTCCCTAAGGCCTTGAATATAGCTGGTCCATTCCCTGTGTCAAGTACCTATCATGATCCTGGTGGGTCCTCTGAGAGTGGAAGGAGACTTTGGCTGTCTCACCTCATCAGCTCTTCCCTGTCTGGTTGGAAAAGACCAACTCAAAAGAGGGGTGATCCAAAGAGTGAGAGACACTTACCACAAAATGGGACCCTCCCCACAGAATATAGGGCTTTTACCTACTTATCTTTCTCCATAGAAAACTACATTTCCTATACTAGTTAGAACACAAGCAGTATAGGGAATGAGGAATACATTATACAGGAGTGATAGTGATAGATCCTTTTTTCTCCTGATGAAATGTTTTCATGTACTTTTGGTCAGCCTATCATGCTTCCATCATTTGTTTTCGTCTGTGAAGTTCCAGGGATATGGAAGTGGGTAGGTACACCTGTTGCCACCAACTCTTGCCACCATTCTTTGTTCTGTGGGACCTTGTCATCATATTTCACCTTGAAGTCCTTGTCCCACATTATAGATCGTCACTTTGGTACGCACACACCAAAGTTAGGGTGAGGAAGTAGTCAATGAAGTTATTATAGGACGACATTGTTCGTCTGTGGTGGAAGACAGGATTGGTATGGGAATGGTGATGAAAGCTAGGTGTTTGTAACCCTTATGGGGCACTACCACTTCCTAAAAAATTGTCTCCATTATTGAGAACATTTTGTTTTTATGTGTGTGTGTGTGTGTGTGTGTGTGTGTGTTTGAGACACAGTCTCACTCTGTTGCCCAGGCTGGAGTGCAGTGGTGTGATCTTGGCTCACTGCAACCTCCACCTCCTGGGTTCAAGTGATTCTCCTGCCTCAGCATCCCGAGTAACTGGGACTACAGTCACATGCTACCACACCCAGCTAATTTTTGTATTTTTAGTAGAGACGGGGGTTTCACCATGTTGCCCAGGCTGATCTCAAACTCTTGACCTCAAGTGATAGACCTGCCTTGGCCTCCCAAAGTGCTGAGATTATAGGCATGAGCCACTGTGCTTGGCCTGTTTTTATTTTTGAAGTTTACCATTAAATGTTGCTTTTTGTATTTGCTACTCTGTTGTCTTTTGGCAGCATTAAAATTTTCATGCTTAAAATCATTTATTGAATACATAAAGCAAATCTAGAGAATACTAAAACATAGGCTCATTAAAAACCTATGAGTATAGCGCTTTTACTTTATTGAAATTAAGGTTTTGCAAATCTATCTGATATTAGAACATTTGAAAGAGATACAGACATTCATTTTTTATTAAGGAGCTCATTAAAAATGGACTGAATTGGATTACAT